GTGTGTGTGTTTACCAGTATTGTAGACACACGCAGTGATTTGTTGGACAGTGAGTCTGTGATGTTGGTGATTTTACTCTTGTGATTCTCGCTCATGTTGAGTCCACGCGGAGGATCCCACGTCCCGATCTGTGCAGAAAACACACACACACATGATGCATAAACACACTCACTCACAAACGGCTGAATCACACACACACACACACACACACACACGGGGTAAATATTGATCGTGTGCATATTTGCTGCTACCAAGGATCATATATGGTTAGCATTAGGGTTGGGGAATGACTTTCTGGCAACAACAAATCATAAGGTTTGATTTCATAGAGGAGCTGCAACCCCTTTGCCTGGCCAAAAGGTGTCACTCTTCTCATTTTACAGTGGTTCTAAAGAGATATATTATACAGGAAAGCTAACTGTAAGCATTCCAATATGTGCAGCCCTAAAAGTAACAACTTGGACATGGCCAACTTTGCTCATGGCACTTATTTGCAAAAACATTTTAGTTAAAGCATATGCCTGTGGACACAAACACGCCTCGCATTTACACGCGTGACATTTACGTGTGATTCACGTTTATTCTCCACAGTCTTACTGACGATCCAGAGCAGAGATAACTCATTCGAAATAATTCAATTAAAGGGGTCATGAATTGAGAAATCAACTTTTACTTTTGCTTTTGACATATAAGAGGTCATCGTATTAAAATAATATCCTGTAAATTTAAAACCGGATTGAGCAAAAAAAATAAAAAATAAAAATGAAGGACATTGTATGGAGGACAAATCTGAAAAATATCTGATCTGAATATATCTGAAATTTGCAATTATTTAATATTAATTATTTTAACATGAAATAATTATATTAATTAATAGTAATTAATAAATCTATTAAAATACTGTTAAAATAATATGTAAAAGCGAATAAATTAAAAGATATTAAACAAACAAGAAATAAAAAAAACACCTCAAATATTGCTAAAAATGGCAATGATTCAATATTTTTTCTTATCCAGACTGTGGTCATATTTTGTCTATATCTTTTAATAGAAAACTACATTTGCCATAATAGATAATGGGATAATTAAACTTTATATATTAAATCAAATTTCAAATAATTTAAAATGAATTTCATACATAATGTGTTTTCTATTCATATCTTTAGATCTCATTTTAGAGATGTATCTGAAGTGTTTCTGAATATTCTGTTAACAAGTTTAAGTGAAATCTCACATTTACAGTAAAAGGATTTGACAGCTTTATATTTGACACAGTCTGTGAATTGGGGTGAGTAACTTATCAGGAGATTTTTATTCTGGAAGTGAGCTGATGCTTTATCTTTGAACTCGAACTATTCTGAAAGAATCAACAGTTCTTTGAACTGAATCACTTGAATCATGAACTGAATCAGTTCATCGAATCTTGAGGTTTTGATTCACATTGAACAGACTATTGAGTTTTGAAGAAAAAACGGATTTATTTGAATCTGAAAGTGAAAGTTCAGAACCTCATTCTAAACGCTGAATCAAGTTATTGAATGCAATATTTTGTTTGGAAGTATTGTTTGCTGTTTTGTTGTGTTACAAACAATTGACAGTGTTTTATTTTATTCTTTTATGCTGCGAAGTGTATTATCATCTCAGGTAAAATAAAATAATTAATTAAATAAAAGAAAGTAGTAATGCGTAACATATTTACGCACGTACCTCTTTAATGAAGCTGATGAATCGTCCTCCGAAGCGCCAGGGTTTGTGTCGGTTGCACTGCAGCGAGCTGACG